AGCTATTCCATCCTCTGAATTAATAATATTCCTCTGGAGGGCGCCTGGGTGGCTCAGTTGGTTAAGCGACTGCCTTCGGCTCAGGTCATGATCCTGGAGTCCCTGGATCGAGTCCCGCATCGGGCTCCCTGCTCGGCCGGGAGTCTGCTTCTCCCTCTGACCCTTCCCCCTCTCATGCTCTCTGTCTCTCATTCTCTCTCTCTCAAATAAATAAATAAAATCTTTAAAAATAATAATAATAATAATAATAATATTCCTCTAGAACCATTAGGAAGAAAGAAAAAACAAATCTCTTAGTAAGCTGTCTTCTAATAACATATAACATTACCACGGTTAAAGAGATTTTTACAAAGCAAGGCCGCTAGCAGCAGAAATGACTAATGGGTGTACTGTGGGCAAGGCACTGCTCTAAGAGCTTCACACATTTGTCTGCTCACTCCATCCTCAAACCCACCCTAGGAAGGTGGTTCTAGAACACCTGCTTTACAGTCAAGGAAAGAGACACAGAGAAGTCAAAATCCATACCCAAACCAGCAAGCTGAGTTACAGCACTGGGCTCTAACTCCACAGTGGCAGTCCTTTCAGAAAGGAGGCAATTTCTCTCCCTCTCAAGAAGTTAGGAATTATTTTAAAGTTCCCACAACAACTTTTTGAAAACCTACTGTAGAGGCTTTAACACTTAACATTCTTGTCTAATTAGAAAATGTCCAGAATTTTTTAAAGCTTTCTCAACTACAACACTAGGACAGGCAATCAAGAGAATCTATAATATTTATCAGGAATATATTTTATAATTGCCACAGGACTGAGTCAGGAGACAGATATACATAAATATACAATTAGCCACAAGTAACCAATATGTTCAACCAATACCCTGGTAATCCCAGTCCTGACAGGCTAAAGAATATACAAGTCTTTTTCCCTCTTGGTAAATGCATTATTAAGCTTGGAGTGGCTAATTACTAGATTTTCATCAGTGACAATATAGGTTCAACTGAATAATCTCTTAAAAATTACCCTAGATTAAAAAAAAAAAAAATTACCCTAGATAATCTTGACTTGATCTTTAACTTTTTTTACTTTTATCTTTTTAAGTAATCTCCACCCCAAACGTGGGGCTCAAACTCATGACCCCGAGATCAGGGGTTGCAGGCTCTACCGAATGATCCAGCCAGGTGCCCCTGGTCTTTTAAATCCGTGTGGTAAGAAATGGCTTTCCCCAGAACTTTAAGTTAGTAAGTCAAATAAGTGGATTCCTACTTAAGTCTTTAAGAAAGCAACACTGCTCTATAAAAGAAGCTTTTTTATCACTGGAAGCCGGCAGGAATTTTTTCCCATCCATTACTGTGACCGCTAACGCAAGGCAATGCCACCACAGGACTAAAGGGTTAAAAAGCTTTTGGCATTCCTCTGACCAATCTGAATGCCTACAGATTGCCTATATTTCCTAAATAAGAGTTCTGGAACAAAACGCATAGCTTTAAAAAGTGCTGCTCCATTTTTTTACCAGAATAGTCAACATGATGTTGCGTTACCCAATGTACGCACACACACCCCACGTACATTTAGACCAGCCCTTCCTTCCACCGTTACACGCTGTGTTTGTGAAATGCGTGACCTCAGTGTCAATTTAAGCTTCTTTTTATCTCTTTATTCTATGTTCACTAAACCAAACACTTAAGTGACCCATCTTACTTCATAATTTCTCTTAACCATTCAGCAATGAATGCAAACCCGAAATCAGAATTATCCCCAGGGTTAAAGATTCTAAGATTTTTTGTTCAGTGCCTTACTAGACTTGCGATAACAGAGATTTCAAAATAATATAGCATGCCATATGGTCAAGCCCAGATAATAACATTGAGAATATCTGTTACCAATCCACTAATGCTCTTAAAAGCCAAAGTCTGTAGACAGTAAGAATTTAATCCAATTTGGAGACCAACATGAGCCAAAAAAACCCAACACGGGCAGAGAAAAAAACAATAAATGCCAATACTGCATTTACTGTCTAAAATCAATGTTAGTCATTAAAGAATGTATTAGCTAAAAAGCCAACTGATGGTAGGTAGGTAAGTCTAAAGATATCCTGAAGACCTTTCTCAAAGCAATCTGTAGAAATACAACTTTTTCAAACAAACCAATGGAAGACAGACAGAAACTTTTCGCAAAGTAAAAAGTAACAGAACAGAGCTTTGAAAAATAAGTTAACTCCTCATAAAATCAGTCCCTTTCTCAAGCTGTCACTCTAAGTCTACCAAGGTTATTCAAGCTTTGCAATCAAAGTCACTAGGCATAAAAAAAAAATTTGAAAAGAACTTTTAAGTTTTACTCTAAAAAAAAAGACAGTACAGGGGCGTCTGGGTGGCTGAGTCAGTTAAGTGTCTGACTTTGGCTTGGGTCCTGGGTCCTGGCCCGGAGCTGGACTTCCCACTCAGCAGGGAGTCTGCTTGTCCCTCTCCCTCTGCCCCTTCCCCGACTCATACTGTCTCTCAAATAAATAAAATCTTAAAAAAAAAAAAAAAAGGACAGTCATTATTCTGCAGTCTTTTAAGAGTCTTCTAAGTCTGCTCTGAGATGAAAATTCAATCTGAGGAAACTTACTGCAACTGCCCCCCAAAACACAAGTAACTCAAAATATTAAACAAAGAGAAATCTTTATTATCATTAATGTCCTTCAATGGACATTAATTAAATGGCTGAGTACTTATGTGACGATATCCACACAGCCCCGTGGTGAACGCCAGTATCATACTGGAGGAATAGTTTCTGTCCAATAGGTGTTCATGTAAGAAAGGCTCAATTCTGAGTCAAAACTGCATGGTTGAACAATTTCCTCTATATGCATACTCTTGAATCATTCCAACAGAAGATGAAATGTAGCCCTAACACTGGTCCCCCAGCAGAAGAAAATGGGAATAAGTCACAGGCACAATCACAAAACTTAACTTTGCTTTCCTCAATTCTCACTTCTAAGAAAAACTTGTAGCACTTCTAGGGTCGGTGAATCCAGGAGCATGTAAGCAAGCCAGCAGTCCCCACCTGGAGAGAGGCCTTGCAGCCCAGCGTGGCAGCCTCCAGAGACCCCACCCCCAACAACAGCCCTCACAGGGTCTGACAGGATTGGTCTCTAACCAACCATTCCAGATACTCTCCATTTCTGGCCAGTTCTAGTTGTTGGAAAGTTACAGCAAGCCGGAAGCTACCATCCCGTTGTGCTGTGCAGAGGTCCTCAGACCTGTTTCCAAGTTGGTGGCACCAACTCTGTCCCCACCCACACACCCAATATTAGTAAGGAAGCAAAAAAGGAACTGCCTATTCACTTTCTTGTTGCAATATGTACCTTCCGGAAGAATCTAGAATAGACCCTATCTTAACAGAATCCAAACTAAAACCTTGCTTTCAAACAGAGAACCCCTCTGCCCCCCAGAATACTGGAGCTTCAAATTCGAAAACGGAAAATTAATGTAAAATTCTTACTGATAACAGTTCTCTAAAGACCTTACTGTATCTAGAGTTGAAAGGAACTTCTTACAGAGCTAGTACTTCCATTTATTTGCTAATCGTAAAAACAATGTACGTGTTTTCTCAGTTAATCATCTCTTAAGCAGCTGCTTGGCCATCAAATATTGAGATCGGTGCAGTCAGACGGATGGTAAAAACGAAAACACACCAAAAGAGCTCCCCCAAACTAAACCTACAGACGAACATGTCCGCATCACTGACACATAAATTCAGTGTTCTGCAGCTGTCAGTGCCCGGCAACTTCCCTTTCCAACATGACAATTCACACATCGCTGGTTTTTCAGTAAATGGATCTCCCGATCCCAATAAAAAGCTTCCATAAAGAGGAATTAGGCAGACACAGCTACTTCTACTTCCGTATGCTAACTACGCAATTTAAAGGACTTGAGACACGTTTAAATACCTTCCGAATCACAGACAATTCGCAAGGAGAAATACGGGGGCGGGGGCCTTCAAAGCCCGAGGGCTCCGCCGCCCCCCGGGCGGAATTTCCGGCTCAACTCCTCCGCCACCCCCACCCGCGGCCGGCCGAGAGCTCGCAGGGCCGAGGGGGGACACGCAGCCCGGGGCTGCCTCCTCCCTCTCCCCGCGCCGCCCGGTCCTTCTCAACGAGGTAAACGGGGCCCCGACACAGCCGGGCGCCGGAGGCCGGGAGCGCGCGGCGGCGACAATGGCAGCCGCGGCGCCGCGCCATCTTGCAGCGGGCCGGCCGAGCCATTCATTCGCGCGGGGACCCCGGCCCGCCCGTGCCGCCCGGCCCGGCCCCGCCCCGCCCCGCGGCGCCGCCCCCGGCGAGGGGCAGCGACGGCGGGCTCGCGGTGCGGCCGCCTCCCGCTTTCCGCTAAGGAGAGAGCGCCTCCCGGGCTCTTTGTCCGCCGGCCGCGCCTCCGCTTCCTCATTTCACGGTGCCCCTTCCTTCACCGTGTCGCCGCCACACACCAAGTTCAGGGTCCCCGAAAAGGTGCCTTTAGAACAGCGATCCTGCCGCGAAAGGACGAGCGCCCCGACCCGCGGCAGAGCGCCGCCGCTCCCTTTGTTCTCGCGGCCCCGGCCCGGCGCACAGCCCCCGGGGGCATCGGGCCCGACCCCACACCTGGGACCCAGGGCCGCGGGCCTGGAGCCGGGACCCCAGAACTCGGGCCACACACCTGGACCCAGGACCCCACGGCCCCCCCGACCCCTGCCCCGGGGCCGAGCTTCTGACCCGATCCCGGCCACAGAGCCCAGACCCCGGCCGCAGATCCCGAGCCCCGGACCTGCGACACCGGCCGAGGACAGGGGCCCGGACCCAGCCAAAGCCCGCACGGCCCCCGCCCGCTCCCGGCCCGGGACCCCACCCGGGCGGGGCAGGAAGACGCGCGGCCCGCGGCGGGGTGGGGGCGGGGAGGGTGGGGGCGGGGCGGCTCGGGCGGGCGGCTGCGGGGGAGGGGCCGGGGCCCGGGTCGCCGGGCAGGGGCAGGGGCCGCCGCGCTCACCTCGGCGCCTCGTCCCGCCTGGCTCGCCCGCGCCCCGCCGCCTCGGCCGCCTCGGCCGCCTCGGCCGCCGCTCTGGAGGTGGTCGCGCTCGGGCCGCTCCGCGGGCGCTGCGGGCAGGTGCGCCGGCGAGGATCGGTCCGGTCCCGCGGCGGCTGCTCCACTCCCGCGCCCGCGCCCGCTCCCGCTCCCGCTCCGCCGCCGCCTCCGTCCGCCCCTCAGACGCCTCCAGCCATCGGGATGGGCGCGGCGGCCCCTGCCCGCAGCCTCGGGAAACCCCACGCCGCGTCACCGCGCACGCCGCGCGCGCGCGCACGGCCCGGCCGCGGCCCCGGCGCGCGCACGCCAGCGCGCTTCCTCCCAGCGCCGACCCGGGAGCGTGCGCGAGCCACTTAAAGGGGCCGCGCCCGCCCTAGAGGAACCAGCTTGCGGAGGACCCCGGGCCTGGTCCGTCCCTCGCCGGTGCCCTAGGGGCTGCGCGCGGGGCCCTGCGCTAGCGTGGGCCTCCCGGCTGCGCACCCGCTCAGCTTCCCAGCCAAGGGGACGTGGGTGGAGGCTGCAGAACCACAGCTGGGACTCTCCCGGCCCTGCACCCGTCCCCCGTACACGCATCCCGCACTACATCCCGCACACAGGCCGAGTGCTCCCACCTGGCATCCTGCACCCGGCATTCAGCACCCCGTACCTGCACTGTGCACGGGTACCCGCACGTGCACACACCCAGCCCAGGCCGGCTTTCAGGCCTGGGGGTGCAACCAAGCTGACTGGATCCCACAGGGACCCACACTGACGGGGTCGGCCTCTAGGGAAGCCCAGCTTCTCCCGGCCGGCGAGTGGATGCCCACCAACCGAGGGACGGGGGAACAGGGCCAGTCTCGGAGATGGGGCTCGTGTGAGCTTGGGCAGGTGCAGGCAGTGTGGTCTCGGGAGGTCAAGCCTAAGGCGCTCCTGGTGGGAATGACCGCCTGGACAGGGAGGTGTGACCACAGAAAAGAGTGTCAGGAGGGAGAGGGTTGGTCAACCTCTAGGAAGGCTGCTGAGAATTGACGCCCCCTCAGGTGGGAGCAGAAAGGAGGTGAACGTGGGTCATATGTCATATGTCATATGTCATATATGTGCAGCCCATAGATATCCCCAGGAATGTCGGTGGAATGGTCCCCCACCACCACCTCTGTCTTTCCAACTGGCTCCTGTCTCCCCAGTTCTAACAACTAAGCTGGTCCCTGGCAGCCCAGTTCCCACGGGCTCCCTCCCTTTGGATCCTGCAGCCCCTGACCCTCATCACCCCAGGCCAGATGCAGACCCCTTTTCCTCCAGGCCTGTGTGTATCCTTCTAACCTGGAGCCCATACCTTCCCACCCAGGTGTGGGCTGCCCCCTGTCCCTCCCCCTCCCACTCCATGGGATCTCCTACCAGCATACAAGCACGTCCGCATCATTCGTGGAGCCCTTCCTCAGTTCCTGCCACCAGATGCTCCAGGCTCAGCTTACACTCTACCTGCCCAGCCCTGAATTCAGCCATTTCTGCAAAGAGCCCTGGGGTCTTTTAATGGGGAGTGGTATTTAGAGGCCAGGCTCAGGGCTCCAGGTGTGCTCACTGCTACCATTGCTTCAGCAGACAGAGCTAGGGGACGAATGCATGTGCAAGCATACGTGCATATGCACACGCACACACAAACACACACAAAGTACCCCCCCACCATGTAACCAATCTCCTGTGATTGCTGCCACGCACCCTCCTCACCCCTCCACTGGACCACCACAGTGCCCACCCCAGCAAGGAGGTCCACCTTGCTCAGCGGACATGACAGTTTCCATTGCCCATCCCACAGCTTCCAGGTTCTTCTGTCCTCCTTGCCGCTCCTTAAACACACGGGTCACCACATCCACACTCTGCCCCTGTGACTCCATCTGCCGAGGAGGGTCTCCCCCATTACCTCCCGTCACCTCCACAGAGAGGTCTCCCCCGGCCCCTACCACTTTGTCCTTCCCCAGTGCCTTGTTGGCTGCATTTCTCTTTAGCTCTCATTCCTGAGACCTCACATGGTTTCATTTGTGGGCGACTTTGCTCCTTGCGCATCTCCCCTGACGAAGCTGGTACTTTGACTCCCTTGTCCCCTGCTCCTCCCACCAAGTAGGGTATGAGGCACACAGTGGGTCCTCAGGGAAGGCTTATGGGGTGGGTGAGAGGGGTGTGAGTGATGCTCTGTGTTCTGAATGAGAGGGACAAGACTCAGCATGACGACCAGAGGGACAGGGGAGTGGGGAGTGTCGGAATCGAATGGTCACTGCTGTCCAGCACAAGGCTGGCAGCCATGGGGACTCTGCGGTGCTGCACGCTGCTCCGGAGGAGAGGTGGATGAGGCAAAGTTGGAAGGATGAGTGTCCTGAGATCGGCAGGTGGGTCCCAGAAGCAATGGACTCAAGGTCCCAGGCTCAGGGTCAGAGACATCCCTCTGAATCCAGCAAGTCTGATGCCAGCCTTCAGTGCCTGCCTACGCCCAGGACTTAGAAAAGTGGAAATGAGGAGGGAGAAGGGGAAAATGAGATGGGAAAGGAAGAGGAGAAGGAGGAAGGGGGAACAAGGCGGGGCAGGGCCAGCAGCAGAGCAGAAAGAAATGGGGGTGATGGTCCCTGTGGAGACCTCTGTACTCCTGTGGGGATGAGAAGAACCCTGGGGGACCCTCAGAAGCCCTACTCCACCAGCCTGGCCTGACTGGGCAGCAGGGGTGCTAAGAGGGCCGGCCCAGGGCTCCCCTGTCCCACAGGCCACTGCAGGCCTGATTGGGCCCATCCCTAGTTACACCAAGGCCACAGAGCAAGGCCACACATGAGGACACCAGGCCAGAGCCTGCACCAGCCATCTGAGGTTTTGGGTGTAGACCTGGAGCCCCCAGCTAATCTGTAGGTCTGTGGGGTAGGGCAGGGCCTTCCCTGGAACTTGCCCTGCAGCCCAGGCCTGAAATCCTCCTTTACATGTTTATGGATGGGTGTGAGGGCAATGTCAAGGGGAAGGTAGGATGAAAGGAGTAGAGAGCCCTGGGTCCTTACTTCCAGATCCCCTACACAGACTAGAGCCTCCTCCCCCTTCAATGCATAGAAGCCGCAGGGTCCCAGGGTTCTTCTCCCCACTCCAAGGCCAGTCCCCAAGGAGCAGGGGCCTTCTAGCCCTGGGGACACATGGCCCTGTCGAACCTACAGGAGCTTCTAGCTTCCAGCCAGAGACCTTTGGACCTCCGGGGTATGAAGGGCACTCTGGGGAGCCTGCCCGCCCTCCCCTCCCCTCCCCTCCACCCCTTTTGTCCAGGCCTCCTGCAGTTTGGGCCCCCATCTGCCGCCCAGCCCCCTCCTCAGTGGGGCATAAATCAGGGCTCATGATGGACCCGCTGCCACGGAGAGAATTTGTGCCCAGCTGGCCAGGAATTTAGGCTTCTCCTGATTTCCTGGACACATGCCTTCCTTCTCTAGATAAGTGGCTTAGAGATCGGCCTGAAGTCCTGAGTCCATGGCCACACCCTGTCAGCTGCACCCAGCCCACGGCCAGGCCAGCCAGGTGGCTGCAGGGCTGAGCAGAGCCTGAGGCTGAAAGCAGTGGCCCTGGCTCAGCGCCCAGCCTTCACTAAAAACCTAGGGTGTGCAAATGCATTATTCAGATGCTCCCCCCTCATCTGCTCTTTAGCAGGAAATGGTCTGACCGGAAAGTAGGTCTTTTTAAATCTGAATTATTCAAACAATTTGTGCACATGACCAGGACCCAAGCCCAGGGGCTATGCTCCAAGCCTGGCTTTAAAGGGTCTCAGGGCTGTAGGGGCCGCTCCCTTCCCGCAGTGCATTGTCTGTTCTTCTACCGCAGCCGTCCTGCCTTGGCTCCTAGTAGGTGAGGCCCCTGGCCCCAGAGGACAGGCCTAGCACGAGGAAGGGAGGGAGAGGGTGCAGAATGTAGGTAATCCAGAAAAAGCACTGATCAGTTCTGCGGCAGCCAGAGGCAGGGTCTGGTGACAGAACGGGCTCAGGATGGTGAGGAAGCCCGCCCCTCCTTCCTTCTCTCAGCGGTGCCCTCTCCAAGTGCCCACCGGGTGCCAGGAAGGCCCAGGTCCACCCCGATGTGGGGCAGGTCTGCTGGAAGGGACAAGGGGAGAGCGGGATGACCAGCGGAAAGGTGACCATCGGTGGAGCAGAGCCCGAGGCATGGCAGGAATTGTGGTGCGGGGGTTGGAGGGGTGGGCAGCTTCGGAGCCCAGGAAAGGGTCAAGGCCTGAGATGGCAGGGCACGGTGTGCCTTGTGGCCTTAGGGAGCATGCTGGCTATTTCCCCCTGGCTGCTGTCAGACTGTGACGGACCCCTGGACCCCCCCCCATGCAGCAGAAGCAGCCCCTCTCTCTCCCAGGCCTGTCCCTTGTCCCTGAGTCCCCCACCATGCCTCTCATGACCTGACCTCCAAGCCCATGATCCTCCCGTCACCTCCCTTTGGTCACAAAGCAGACATCCCTCATGGGGGCCACAAAACTTGGGGGGGGGCACTGGAGAATCAGGAAGTGCCAAGTGAGGGGGGGACGGCAAGCGCAAGGCAAGTTTCCCCTGAGATTTGGAGCAGACACCCAAGGGAAGGTCCCCGTGGCCTTGCCTCTCCCAGAAGGAGCCCTCCCAAGTGGGTTGAGACTGTGGGGGCCGTGCTCAGCTCCAGCAAACATCGGGGCTGCCTTCCCAGGACACCTGTAACAGGAGAGCCCACCTTCCTCTGTGGGGATCTGTGTGGCGGGTACTTCTGGTCGCCCCGCAGATGGGGGGACCTGCACCCATAGAGCTGGAGAGCCTGGCTCCATCCAACGGCTCTGGGGCCACAGACTGGCCCAAGCAGAGGCTTTTCACATCATCCTTTTTGGAGTGAGACAAACCTCTCTAATAGAGAAAGATGCAACCATTATCGAGCAGAGCATCATTCCCCACGTGTACCCCAGAAACGTGTGCACCCACAGGAATGCACAGATGTACACAGGCCAGTCGGGTCAGCCAGGCTCGGGGTACCAGGTAGCGGGAGCGTAAACCAGCTTATGTGAAGGAGGCAATCCGCTCACTCAGGGGATGCAGGAGGTATCCCTGCATCCAGGAGTTCCTGGAGGCTGTCAGGGCCCGTCTTCCTGTGATCTCCAGCCACAGTGCTCCCAAGACAGATATCTGTATGTTGACCCCAGGAAAGCTCTGAAGGCCCTCTGTCAGATTTTGTGTGGCCCTGGAGGCAGGGAAAGGAGGGGCCGT